TGTAACTGGACAGAAAGGGTATGAGCCGGTAGAAATGCACTAAGTGGGGAACCCAGCGAGGCCTGTCCAGAGTGTTCCTGGCTTCTCTGGGTGGCATTCGTATTCTTGGGTACAGGGTAGGACCTCTCTGGAGTGAGAATCACAGAAAGATGTGGGTAAGGGTAAAGTAATATTTTTATGCTTAGCTTTGGGGAAGGGGGTTCTGGTTTCTGTGGCCTACCTTGGGGAAGAGGAATGCTAATTTCTATTGCATGCCTAAAACACAGAAGGGCAGGACGAGGTCAGGGAGAAACTTTGTTTCTGAGGCCATCATTTTGAGGCATCATTTTCTAAGCCCCAACTGTGTTCATGTGTATATAAGTGTGGATTTGTTTTTTATAATTTTTTTTAATTAAATGTTAGCTGTGTACATTAATACAATCATGGAGTACAGTGTGGTTTTCTCATATACAATTTGAAATATTTTCATCAAACTGGCTAACATAGCCTTTATGTCATTTTCTTAGTTATTGTGTCAAGACGTTTATATTCTACTTTTAGAAAGATTCACTTGTACCCTTGAAAGATCAACCATAGAGGTGACCCCTCCAGTCATCCTCCTGGATTTGTTTTATTAGAAACATAAAGGAGAATCTAGCGTTTAAAAAAAATTTAAGTCATTTTATGAATATTATTCTAAAAGTATAGTTTACTAAATTATGGTTATCTCAGTAAATACAGGAAAAAATTAACAATTCATCACCCATGTATGATTTTAAATACCCTAGCAACTAAAAAAGGAGGAAATTCCTTAATCTGATAAAGTCTATGAAAATAATTCTTGCAAACCTCATACTCATTGATGAACTAGTAAAAGCTTTTCCTTTGTGTGATATTGTGAAAATATATATTTGGTCTTTGTCCCTATTTCCTGGCATATACCTTCTAAAATCCTTGGACTATTCAATAGTGGTTAAGTGTCTTTCTGTATGCTATTGAGTTGACTGGTGGCTTCCAGTCCCTAGCTTCCGGATGGGGCTGGTCACCAAAAAGATGTTGACAGTTTTAGTAGATTGGCAATTTCAGCCCTTCAAGGAAGGGAGAGGGGCTCAGGATTAAGATCTTCACCCATGGCTTGGCGCCTGTGGCTCAAGTGGCTAAGGCGCCAGCCACATACACCTGAGCTAGCGGGTTCGAATCCAGCTGGGGCTCGCCAAACAACAACGACGGCTGCACAAAAAAATAGCAGGGCAGATGCCTGTAGTCCCAGCTACTTTGGTGGAGGCAGGAGAATCACTTGAGCCCAGGAGTTAGAGGTTGCTGTGAGCTGTGATGGCACAGCACTCTACTCAGGGAGACAGCTTGAGGCTCTGTCTGAAAAAAAAAAAAAGAAAAGATCTTCACCAATGAAGATCTTTCAATCTCCCCAAATGCCTATATAATGAAACCTTCATAGACCCCCCCAAACTAGGTCAGATAGTGGAACACCAGAATTTCCTGGAGGGTGTGTGCCCAAAGAGGGCATATGAGTGTCATAACCCTCCCTTGTGCCTTGTCCTGTGTATCTCTTAATATGTACTTTAAAAAATATCCTTTGTAATTAATTGGCAAACAGAGTTTTTCTTGTAGTTCTGTGATCTACTCTAGCAAATTGATGGAACCCAAGGAGGGGCCGTGGGAACTCCAACGTATAGCCAGTGGAGTCAAAAGCACAGGCAAAGTAACCTGAGATTTACAATCCGATCAGCATGGGAGTGGGGCTAGTTTTGTGGGACTGAGTCCTCAACCTGTAGGATCTGATGCTATGTCTAGGTGGGTGTGTCAGAATTTAATTGAATTAGAGAGCACTCAGCTGGTGTCTGCCACTGAATCCATTGCTTGCCTGGGTTGTGTCGGGGAAAAAACCCATGCGTTCAGTCACAGAAGTCTTTTTTGTTGTGAATTAATATGTTGATTATTTTGAGTTGAAAAATTGGAGTTTCAGAAAGGACTGGCTAACCTGTCTCTCTCTGGGAGAAGTGCCTTCCCAGTACCAGGGTGAAAATAGTCCTTATTATCACCAGAGACTGGGAATTGGGGACCGCAGTGGACCTGAATAAATACGTTTACCCAAGTAACCGTTATCATTCACTAGTTTTACCCTCTCCTATGTACAGAGACTGTCCTTGAAATTTTCTTCCCCAGGGACAGACTTACTTTGTCGTAACATTCTTCTCTTATTTATTGTTCTTTGTCTAACAATAGAAATGCATTTGGGGTTTACCACTTCTCAGAATTTCACTGTCTTGTGAAGATTCTCATGTACATGTAAAACTAATAAAGTTTGTGTGCTTTTCTCTTACGGATTTGACCATTATCAATTTCATTTTTAGATTAAGCCAAGAGCCCATCGAAGAGCTAAAAGGGAGGTTGGATGTGATCTCTTGTTCCCGTACAGTTGATTGTTTAGTGAGCGTAGAGGAAAAGCACTTTGCTTTGTTGATTCCCATATTCATACGCCTTGAGGTTGGGAGTAAGGGTAGGATCACCCCTGCTACTGTATGTGGGTATGCAGGAACTAACTTCCCCCCTTTGCCCTGCCTGTCGGGAAGCTCAGCTGGACTTCACATTCTCGTCCTATAATGTTTCTCACCTTTATGTAAATTGTGTTTCCCCTTCCTCACCTTTATATAAATAATATTTCTACTGCTTTAATTTTTGACCTTGCATTTGCTAATTTTTTTTAACTTTTTTTAAGTTCTCTCACTCTGTTTTGAAGTAGGCGAGAAATAATTCAGTGAAGTACTATAGTTCAGTCAGTGCTTAGATGACTTTGAGAAAATTACTAATTATCCCTCGCTTTCCTCATTTGTCAGTGTGGATAATAATCACTCTTGCTCAGGTTCTTTTATCTTTTATGAAAATCAGTGAAATGACCATTAAAAAGCTTTTTAAAAGTTAAGAATATTATTCTAATGAAGGATGCATGCCCATAGTCATATATTTTTTCTGATTTCAGGTTTTTTAATTTGCACATAGATTTTAAATGACTTTTTCAAGCTCTCTTCTAGTGTAATGTCTGTTTGCTTTGTAATTTTCTTTTCAGTTTCATAGCTCCCTTTAAAGAATTGCTCATTCTCATCAAGGCTCTTCTTTTAAGGTTGATTACATTATTTGCCTTATTTCAATTATTTAATATAATTAAGTTAATATCTATTGTTGTGTAAGACTCAAGACTCAAAAGAAACAAGGCTTGAATTGTATTCCCACTGGCTTGTCTTTATCCCTTTAAGTCTGTCTTAGATATATGGAATATTCAACTGTCACTTGGCAAATAAATGGTAAAAATCTGAGTTATAAAATGTTATTCGTTCCCATGGTTCACAACTAACTGTACAATATCTTTTGCAGAATATGTGAGATCCAAGCTGTCGACTGTACGACCATTTCCTCGTTCACAGTGAGGGAATGTGAGGGGTCCAGTAGGATGGGCTCCAGGCCGAGGCGCTACTTGTTCACGGGCCACACCAATGGCAGCATTCAGATGTGGGACCTGACCACTGCTATGGACATGGTCAACAAAAGCGAAGACAAGGGTAGGTTCCCGGGCACGCGGAAGCTGGTGATGGGTGAGCTTTTGACATAGTGATGTTATGAGCGTTTGTTTCTAAGATGTAGGTGGCCCTACTGAAGAGGAGCTCCTTAAACTCCTGGATCAATGCGACCTAAGCACATCTCGCTGCGCTACTCCTAACATCAGCCCCGCGACTTCTGTGGTCCAGCACAGCCGCCTGCGGGAATCAAACTCGAGGTGGGCAAAAGGATGGGTGTTATAAGTTGTATTGATTATTTTGGGGAACATCGACTGAAATACTTGTAATTGCATAGTTGCTCTAGAATGCCATACTTTTCAATCACATTTTTTAATTCCAACTTTATGTTGATACTTAGGGTTTTTTAAAAATTTTTCATTTATATGCATATCTGGCCCTTTTCATAAAGATGCATTTTTTGCCTTTTAACTTATTTTGTGAATTGCTGCCAATTTGGATACCTATTATGGAATCAAGAATTCATTTAGAAGAAACTAGGAAAAACCACATTTTACCTTGGTTAATTAATATGTAAAGCTTTAATTATTGTCCTGCCCCCAGGACAGTATTCCAGTGATTACATTGACTTATCTACTCTTATACTTAGTCCTTAGGTACTTTTAGTACAATGATAGTGGTATGTATTTTAGTTATAATATTGATTTAAAAAATTCCGAAATCTGAGGAAACAAGGGCCAAATAGTGGATTGGTTTCCATGTGGGGTTCAATGATTTTTTTTCCCCCCAAACTTTTTTTTAAGCTGTTCAGAAGCATGACATGAATGTATGTATGGTAATATTTGCATTAATTCTTTTATATATTATCTACATAAAAAATACTTGATAAATATATTTTATAGAGAGAAATATGGGTATAATATACTTTCTACATTTGTATAATGTCTTACTGGTAGTTTAATAAATAAGATATGATCCCTCAGAATCTTGGAGTGAAATCTGAAGTTTAATTTTTAAAACACTGTATTTCAGCCTTCAGCTTCAGCACCATGAAACCATCCACGAAGCAGCTACTTACGGTTCCATCAGGCCTTACAGAGAGAGTCCTTTGTTAGCAAGGGCGAGAAGGACTGAGAGCTTTCACAGTTACAGGGACTTCCAGACTGTCAATTTGAACAGAAATGTAGAAAGAGCTGTGCCTGAAAATGGTAACTTGGGTCCAATACAAACTGAAGTCAAGGGGGCCACAGGGGAATATAGTACGTCTGAGAGAAAGTCCCCTGGCACAGAAATAAAGAGTTTGAGAGAATTAGATAGCGGGTTGGAAGGACATAAAACAGCTGAAGGTTTTTCAGAATCCAAGAAAAGGTCATCAGAAGATGAAAATGAAAATAAAGTGGAGTTAAGGAAGAAAGGAGGATTTGAAGGGGGAGGATTCCTTGGAAGAAAGAAAGTTCCCTATCTGGTGTCGTCACCAAGCACTTCTGATGGAGGAGCCGACTCTCCGGGTACTGCATCCCCGTCTCCTACAAAGACCACTCCCTCTCCACGGCATAAAAAAAGCGATTCTTCAGGTCAAGAATACAGCTTATGAAAACTTGCCAAAGTGAATTGTTATTTTATTAAATTTAGATAAAAGTTCAGCATTATTGGATTTCAGTACATCAGTTTTTACACTAAAACTTTACAAGGTAAAATTGAACTTCACTTAGTATCTTTTTAATAGAAGTACCTGGAATAAGGAGATATAATAATTATATCTCTTTTCACATTTGGAAATTTTTTCAGTTTTACAAGTACTTTTAATAGATCATTTGTAAAGCAAGAGTCCATTGTAACATAAGCTACTTTTTGTTGGTTTTGGAAACATAGTACCACATCCTGGTAGAATGGTGCCCAGGGAGAGGAGCATCCCGTAGATCATGGGAGCAGGCAGACTGCATTCCTAACCTTGATTGTGCCTGAGACTTGTCTTGCAGTGTTAGGTTAAATGAATCATATAATTCTCCTTGGAATTTGGTGATTACAAAGTGTTTACTAGATATTTGATGAGGTGCTGTGTTTGTGAAAAAATATATGTAATTCAGAAACACTAATAATATTGACTATCAGAGTCCGTTATGAAGTAAGTCTCCTTGAGGATATTTCATTTTTATTGTGGGTCGTTTTCTGATTCTCATGGTTGGGAGTTCTTAAATCTTAGCAAAGCATCACCAATATGCCAAAGGTTCATATAAACTTTCTTTCAAGTTGGAGCAGTTGTCTGTGTGTAAAAAGATGAAATAAAAATAATCAAGAGCAGTGCTTTAGTACCCAGAGGGAACACTGTACCAGTTGGTCACCTGCCTTGTTTAGGAGCCACCATAGTTTTTTTCAGTGTTAATAATGAAGATAATTAAATTAAATGTGATCATTTTGTTGTGCTTATGGGACTGCAGTTCTGAATTGTTGGTCCAAAGTTTTAGTTGCTGTAAAAAATGTTAATTTGAATATATTTTGAATTGTAAAAGAAGTGATTTTTTGTACATTTTTTTCCCTTTAATCAGAATGGTTTTTCAAGTTTCTACAAATAGGGTAAATATAAACTTAAAGCAGTAAGCATTATTGGTTAATAATGTATGTATTCCCATTCCAAGAACTATAATAAATAATAAATGAATGAAGTTGAAATAAACTCATTAAAATTTACTGTATTGCCAGTGGTTTCACAACAGTTTTCTTGTATTTATCAATTAAATCAAATAAAAATGATTAAGAATGTGTTTTTAATTAAGGAACATTTGTCCTATTTAAAGTGTATATTTAAAGTTTATATATATATATATAAACACACATAGGTGTGTTTATGTAAAAAAGAAAAAGAGGGAGGAGGGAGAACGTATTATATGTGAAAATTAAGTTATATTATCAGTGAAGGAAGATGGTAAGCAAAGCATAATTTCAAAATTAAGGATTGTAATTGTTTCTTATGCCTTTTTTCCTTATTATCACAGGTATGTGAAATTTGGGTTGCATGTAAGTATATTAAGGGAAAAAAATGAAATACCAAGAATAAAAGATCATTTAAAAAAAGGTATTGACAACTTTATGATAAAATCCCTTAAAAAGACAACTGACTGTCCCATAGATTGCATCATAGTATAAGTTAAATTTGGGGGGTTTTGTTTGTTTCACTTAAAAGAGTCTGAACCTTGTTAGGGCAGGAATTTGAGTCTACTCGAACTCTTAACTTTATAACCTGGAGCAGATTGTCCGTCCCTACATTTGTTCATTTTACCTATTTCTCTGTGGATGCTGTGACTAGAAGAAAAAAATTGAAATGATAATAATATATAATTTATGTGATTGAAACATGCAAATTATAATTCTCATGATGAGTTCTTGAAGTAATTTCATTTTAAAGTATTCTGCCAATAGGATAAGTAGTGTTAGCCCATTTCACAGGTGAGATCACTGAGATTCCCACAGCAAATAGCGAGCCATACACAGGCTCATGAATTGCTAAGCCAACTTTTGAAGCCCATTCTTCCTGTTTTCAGAGCCTGTAGTCTTGTTCCTGGCTTTCTCATCCAGGCTTATGTCAGAATCACTTGAGGTTAGACACATACAGTTGTCCAGGCCTCACTCCAGTTTTACTGAATCTGGATCACTGATGGTTGGGACCCCTAACAGTGTTCTGGAAAAAGTAACACCATTTACCGTCATGTACATTGATGGTTGAGAAACTATGCAGAACATCCTATTAGATGGATACGTCTTTATCGTTCTTGATCATTATTTGTATAACGCAGAGCCAATAGAGTACTTTTTAATAAATATATTAAACTGTTCACATTTAAATATTTATTAAGCAAACCATCTTTAGATTAATTTACATGATATTTGTGCATTGAAAATCAACTATTCATTTGTGGCAATTATAAGTTCCTTCTTACTGATTTATTCCAGCTGGCCTATGTTTCATTTACAGGTTGTTTAGGTTAAATTATTTTCAGATGGATGACAACATGATTTTTATTAAGGTACCGTAACAGATTCATACTTAGGTTCTCCATTTAGTGGAAATAACAATAGGTTATCTACAAACACAGTTCTTAGTAAAGGTTATAAAAATGTAACTATGTACTCTTAGCAAACAGTTATTAGGAATAATAATAGTGTTCAGCTGAGAATGTGGCCTGTACAAGTGATAAGACATGAGACAGAGGAGTTTTAAAACAGACTTAAAGAGGTTCTCTGCGGAGCGTAGTTGCCATGCGTAGCCGCCATGCGTAGCACCTTGCTCCCCTATGGGATTTCTTCCATGTGGCTTTGTTTTCCTGGTTCTCAACATTAGGAGCACCTAGAAGCCTTAAAAAGCACTGATGCCTCAGCCCTACCACAGACCAGATGAATCAGAACCCCTCGGTCTATGTAGTTTGCATGATCGAGTCTTGGCACACAATACAACTTAGAGTAGCAAGACAATCATAGGATTCTTCTCTGAAATAAAAAGTAAGGTTAGGAGTGTTGCAGGGGGCAGTGTTCCAGAAGCAAGCCATATCAGCTTTCCACCTTGAGCTGTGGGATCAAGATATACATGATTTGGCTAATTGGATTAATGTAATAACTAAATGTCTAGTTTGATGAGTAAGTGGATAGTGATTTAAGATCACCTCAGTTCTCTATTTTTTGTGTTCTGGTGAAGTTCTATACTGTGCTTTAAAAAACTCCCATGTAAAGATAAAGGTAACTAGTTGTGTTTTCCAATGTGAGGATGAATCCGATCTTCTGAATATACCTGTGACTAGCATATCACGTTTGTATCAAAGTCGACCAGGCATAGGATGCAAGTTTGAGTCTTCCCCAAATAGCTTATGTGAAGCGCATGCTCAGCCTTAGTTAAGGCTCATATATGCCTGCTTTAAACAACTAATTGATGCAGAATCAAATAGGAATTAAAAAACAGTAAGCTGTTAGCCAAGCAATTGTTTCCATCTCAAAGTATAAAATTTTGGCGAGGAAAAAAAACAATTTGTACAGCTACTGCCAACTGTACACAGTCATTGCAGGTTTGTTTGCTTACAGCAGTGATAGCAAAGGGGCAGAGCTGCTTAATACTGGCCTGTGCTTTTGACACTGGTGGTTGGCAAGCTTTCTCTAAGAGTTGGTCCGTTGCTCTCAGATGTGGGTAAGTCTCAATGCCCCCAAAGTCCTCCATCTTTTATGCTTGGATCATGGTGTAGTCATGGTTTTCAGGCAGAGTAAGGGAATGAGTTTTTGCCAGTACAGCTTTGCAAAAATCCACAAAATGTTCACTATTGTGTATGAGACAGGTAGCTCCAAAATAACTTCCTGGCGTCAGACCTTTATGAATGAAGAAAGAAGAGAGGTTTCCTTTGTTTTCCGTGAAAAACATATTTTAATATCTTTTACGTTGATAACTTGGAAATTTTTTTTCTTGCAGTAGGACTTAACACTAATAACTTGGTAATTTATATAGAGCAGATGACAGAAACTTTTGAACTGTGAATTGGGACTCTTGCATGTCATCTGTTCTTACTGATCACAGCACCAAAATTTCAGTTCCCCTGAAACAAAGGGATATAGTACAGAGGTTTTTATATATGAGATATACAGAGGGTGCCCAAATACATCCACATTTTAAGAAAGGAAAAAAACTATTAGAATTGTAATAAGATATACTGAGCATTTGTTATTGTGTATATTGCATCTTGTAGCTCTTGTAATTGCAGAAGTCTAATATGGGAGCATTACAATTTTAATAGTCTTTTCCTTTCTTACAGTGTGTGTGTGTATAATATATAATATATTTGCCACCCTCTGCATGTACATCTATGTTCAATCTTTACATGTAAATGTTCATTTCAAACTAGGAGGAGCACAAATAAAATTTTTCCTTTTTAAATTTCATAGAGACTAGTATCACAAAGAGAACAGTAATCTCCATTTCAATTGTGCTAGGTTGAAGATGGCAATATTCCCTGGCATCCAATGAATTGACAGAATTGACTTTCATGAAAAGTACTAAATGGAGTTCCAAAACCATGTCAAATGTGTGAAGTAAAAACATTGGTTCAAGTAGCGGTGTTTTGTTGAAACAACTTCTTTCTGAAATGTGTATTTACTCAGATTTTCAGAAGATTTATGAATATAAGAACAGAGACATTTGCATGTAAGTTACATGGTGTTCTAGCAAAAGGTTTAGTGAATATTAAACCCTAAATATTGTAATTAAATAGAATCTTCAGCTAAGCATGTAGATTGAGTGCAAAGTTTGTTTTTCTCTGATTCAGCATGCCCTGAAATTAGGATTTCGTTTCACAGCCATGATTATTATTAAAATAGCTGTTCCTTACAAGCTGGCGTCAACCCTGATGGGCATAGAGGATAAAAACAGCAGTGACATCCTTTCCAGAGAACTGCTTAGTTTTTAAGCCAGCGACTAACTTCTCATTACTTCTAACAACTGGAGACCATCTTGAAATTGCCACTGATTATTCATTTAGCCAGTGGCATCACCGCCAAATAGAGCCAAATGAAAATTACATGCTTCTTTATCCTTCACAAAATAAGCAGAACAAAACAAGTATTTTCGTATGAGTATTACCCCTCATTTCAGGCCACTAGAAAAATAACATTTCTCTATTAGGAAGGAACTCTTTCAAACACAACCTTCTTTTCTTTAAAGGATTATAGCAAACAATGACTCTTCAGCATTTTTATGTCAGTGATAACTAAGGAATGGGGAGCAGAGCCTGCAGTCCAGGTTACATCTTCCAGGTTTCCTTCCGTTACAGGTGGGTATCAGTGAAAGTGGTGTGTTCTTTGGTTACAGAGCTGAAGCCCTTGATGGCATTCATCAGGTCCTCTTCATCCACATACTGAAAAATAAGCCAGTCATTGGTAATAACAGTTGCTATCAATAGTACTTTATCAGTTGGAAATTCTATTAATGTAAAAACTTAAGTATTAGAGGCTTAACATGCTAGGCTCAGCACTGTAAGGTGTGATTTAAATTTACCTTATTGAAAGGATAACATATATGAACACAAACTATAGACTAACCCCCAAATGTATGTGATTTGAGTTTTTATTTTGCCATATCTCAACCTTTCTAACCCTTAGCTTACTCATCTTTATAAAGTGGAGAGCTTATAGGTCAATGAGGTGGCTCACACCTGTAATCCTAGCACTCTGGGAGGCCAAGGTGGGTGGATTACCTGAGCTCACAGGTTTGAGACCAGCCTGAGCAAGAGCAAGACCCCCATCTCTAAAAATAGCTGGGCACTGTGGCAGGCACTTGTCCCAGCTACTCAGGAGGCTGAGGCAAGAGACTTGTTTGAGCCCAAGAGTCAGAAGTTGCTGTGAGCTATGATAACACAGCACTCTACTGAGGGTGACAAAGTGACCCTCTTGCAAACAACAACAAAAAAGAGCTTAGATGTACATATACTTTTAAAGATTTGGTTCAAAAAATAGAAGAGCCAGATTGTAAGCTATTTATGATCTGTTGCTTCTCATTCTTGTATTTGTATTTATTAAACAGGGTTAGTAATGTACGTTATATTATGAAGGGCTAAGTAGTGGCACCTTCAAAAGGTTCCATGGACTCCCTTTGCACATTGCCCATTGCTAGTACTATAAAACATAAGCAACCACAACCACATAGTGTAATAGTTACCAGTGGGAGCTCTATATTCAGATGATGTTTTTAAGATTCCAATCCCATGAAAAGATTATTCACTAGCTATGTGTCCTTGGGTAAACCAC